TTCCCCCAGGGAGTGGATCTGGGACTGCGCCTCCGCCATCTGGGCTTCCTGCAACAGAGAGAGTGTTCGCTGACGTCAACTTTTATTAGCTTCGTTGTAAACCGGCAAACAGCTTGCGAGCAAGGAAACAACAGTGAGGGGCGTACGACGGGGAAAGAAACAGAAGCAGCGGTGTTGCCGGCAGGTTGTGGTCTCAAGCAACAGTCTCTCAATCATACCCACTGTGCTTGAAGCTCGCCTCCTATACGTTTTTCTCCATGCTGCTGGCAATGCAGCAGGCATCCTACAGAATTCTGTCTTACAACACGCTTTGAAACGAAGAAGACATACAAAACAATCGAACCCAAGTTGACATAACCTCGAGAAAGCATATTGTGCAACTAGAGGGGGACGCTGACCCTGGTGAAGATGGGGTTGAGCTGGCAAACTTTCTCGGCGAGGTCCTTGCGCAGTGCGTCCATACCGCTCTGCTCCCCGGCCGCCTTCTCGCCGCCGTCCAGGTACCGCTGCGCGTTCTCGAGCGCCGTCTTGTGCCACGACAGCTCCTTCTCCATCTTTTGCTGCTGTAGACAGATACGGCGAGTGTTTTGGGCTCAGCCGCAGACAGTAGCGAATAACATACTTCTCGTTCCATGTTAGTGATACCTTTGGCCACTGCTAGTGAGTTCGTACACGCCACCTTGATCTTGTGCCACGGCAACGGCTATGGTGAAGCTTCGCAGTTGCAAACGATACCATACCCATGTCCCATCAACTAGAGATGTGTCGCGGGATCGAATTCTTACCTGCATCGCGATGACTTTCTCGGTCATCTCGCGGACCTCCTGGTCCCCGGACGCGAGCGGGTCGTCGGGCATCCGGCGGCTGAGCACGGCGGTCAGCTCCTCCCGGAGAGACTCCACCGATTGCGCGGCCCAGCGGCTGACGTCAAGCGCGCTCTGCAGCTGCGACTCCTTGGCCTTCAGCTCCTTCTCCACGTGCTGGGCCCTGGGGGAACGAATAGCAGGGTATCAGTGCTGGGGTAGATGATAGGCAAGATTTTTCCCTACACCTTCTGTTAGTAGGAGAAGGCTTTGATTCGTGGGACGTCCGGTTCAAAGAATTGACCATTGACATGTCCGTCAAAAGACGAGATGGGGGGATCCCCAGCATTGCATCTTCTGAACGGCCATAGCAGCGAATGCACGTGGAGATTGCCCGTCGACATCAGAACTTCAAGACAGGCCATTAGATCTATCCGAAGTCGGCCTATCCGGTCTTACAAAGTCGACAGAGATCTGCCGCCGATTAACATGCAGCAATTTCAAAGCAGCAACAACATCCAACCAGAACCAGGCAGACGCTATCGAGAGTAGCCTTTTCGTTCCAACCGTCTCTGTTTGAGTCACGTCATCCAAGCTTCCCAACTTTCCGTTTGTCTTTGTCGACTCGTCGAACCGCTCTAACCCGCCCCCGGATCACTCTGAAGAAAACGAGAGCGGGGAGACTCTGCACGCACCTCTCGCGCACGTTCCTGACGTGCTGCTGCAGCTGCTCGACGCTCTTGGAGTGGCCGCTGCGCTCCGCCTCTAGTTGCTGCGCCACGGCCGCCAGTCGCGCCTCGAGCTCCGCCACGCGGCTGTCTGCTGACGCCAGCTTCGCGAACAGGTCTGAGCTGCGTGCTGACGTGGCAGCCATGCGCGCGTCTTTGCCGAGCCTGCAAAGGAAAAGAATGAGGAGGGCTCAAGGAGGGTTACGGATGGAGAAAGAATCACAGGTTTCAACCACCAAGAGTTGCGAGTTGCCGGATCATGTGGCACTAATACACGCGTCGTTCACGAGCTAAAGTTTTCAAGTAGGAGCCGCCTGATAGAACGACATCGGAAAAGAAGCATCGTAGGCACCGCAATATTTACTACCTCCACAAGTAGAAGTTTTTGAAAATCTGAACCAAGTAGCCGTATCCATCCGGCTCAGCAACTTATTACAACCAAAGCAGTTTAGGATCAACTCTGTCAAAACCAGAGCCACCAAGAGTAGATCCACTGCAGTTCCGATAACAATCAGAAGTCGCACCTGGCGTTGGATGCCCCCGCCAGCTTGGACCGCAGCTCCCCAATCTCCGCGCTCAGCATCGCGACCTTTCCGCTCAGCATTGCGCTCTCTCCGGCGGATTCCGCCAGCTTCGTGTTGAGCGCGGCCACCTCGCCCGTCGACGCCGCGAGCAGCGCGCTGATGTCATCGCGGTCCGCGCTCAGCTTGCTGAGCTCAGCGGCGACGCGCGCGCGCTCGTGCTGGGCGGCCTCCAGGGCGGCGGTGAGTTCGGCGCACTCGCGGCTGGATTGGGCCAGTTGGACCTGGAGGGAAAGTTTGATGCTTAAAGTGATGTTTGGAAACGTGATTGGGGGCAGCGTTGCTGCTCGGTGGCAATTAGAAGACCGTCTCTCACTCGCTATCATCGTTCTTCCTTGAAATTAGGCTCTGCATTGTTGATCGGCAGGGTGTCACGAGCTCCCAACTGTTTCGGCTTCAACGCAGCTGAAACGTTCTT